AAGTTATTGAAGATCACGAAGATTCAAACAACCGCGTATCACCCGGAGAGTAACGGCGCATTGGAACGTTCTCACCGTACTCTCGCGGAATATTTAAGGCACTATATTAACGAGAAACAGTCTGATTGGGACGAGTGGCTGCCCTACGCGATGTTTGCGTATAATACGACACCGCACACAGCCACGGGATTGACACTCCCGCACACGGGTTTGAGCTCATGTACGGGCATCGTGCCACTCTGCCCACAGCGCTCACGAAACCACCGAAATAAACGTATTCGTACGATGATTATGCGCAGGAATTATGAGAAAGATTACGCGCCGCGAATCAAATTGCGAAGGAAAACGCGCAACAAGTGAAACAACAAGCCAAGAAACAATATGATAAAAGTGTAAAAAGGGAAATCTTCGAGATAGGAGACAAAGTCCTGCTTTACAACGAGGCCTTGAGAAGGGGACGCTCAAAGAAACTAGAATCCCAATGGGCAGGACCTTACACGATAGTGGAGAAACATAACGAAGTAAATTTCACAATAAAAAGGGGACGGAGAACCTTACGCGTACACGCAAATCGCCTTAAACATTTTGTGGAGAATTAGCCATAGAGCAAAAGCAAAAGTGAAAAAAGGGGGGGGAATTAACAGACAGCGATAGAAATAAAAAAGCGTTAATAAATAAAGAAAACATTTACCTTAAAACAAAGAGTAAGGTGGGGGAAGCTCCACCACCGTACGCTGACCTGTCCGCACGTACAGGGTCACACGACGCCTCCGGTCCGGGCTAGGGGACCGAAGCGTGATCGCCGCGTTGATCCGCTCCGTAAGGGACCGCCGATCCGTAACCGATCGCCTAGGTGGCGGAGTGTCGGGGGGAGTACGAGGCGTACGACGGGCAGCATTCAACCAATACGTGCGTAAGCACGAGTCGCACACACTAGGCGCGAAATACAAGTTGCAACACAGGCACCTCATGATTTGGCAAACGAATGCACGAGGACTCTCTGGAGACTGGCAATAAAATTAGATATCGCCGCGATTGGTGTAAGATTCCGACAGGTACAGGACCACTTAAAGAGAACCGAAGACCGATGCGGAAATATATTAGCGGAAAACGTAAAACAAATGTGCCAAAATATCCTACGAATTATGGAGAA